TTTTCTCTGCAACTCGACCATCGCGCTTGATGTGTTACAAATTGGACAAAAAGCAGTGAAAAAACTCGTTTTCATTGCATGTATTGCAAAAAACCTGTGTGCCTACAGCATTCACATGCCAAGTACGCGTGCCTTGAATGCCGTGTCTAATTTGATGTTGTTAAAGATAATAACAAAAAATCAGTGACTGCTAAATGTAAAAAATGTAAAGTAATTATGGCTGGAATAGTGCTGCGTATGAAGAAACATATTCAAAAATGTGTTCCATCTGAAAATTCTCAGCTACCAATGTCAACTGTCTCTGATTCCGAGTCAGATGAGGATTTAACGCTAGATGAGATATCCAAAACCCAAAAATATTCAAGGGATGCTTACTAGTGATGTAAAAAAAGTAACAATTCGTTATACGAGTACTCGTTACCCGCGAGATCCGAAGTAATTGTTACCGCATCACATCGGTACCAGTTACTTTGAATCTAACAGTTACTTTTTCCAAAGGCCAAGTATTGTTGGATAGGCGATATAGACTTAAAAGTCGAAATGCGCAACAAAATTTATTTTTACATTGCAATAATAAGCTATAATATCTTTTATTGTTGTTTTAATATTTTTATTTTATTTTATTATTGCTTGTTTTATAGAAAAAGTTTTGTTTTCCATTGTTAATGTGTTACTACTTTCAAATATTTTTGTTATATAATAAGTGAAACGTAAGTTATTAATAATTAAATAATAATAATTAAGAAAAATTCTTCGTTATAATATGCAGTGAAAAAGTAAATCCCATAACCTACACTCTATTTTTTGATATTAGTGCACAGTGCATAATAGCGTAACAAACACAATATAATATACGTACAGTATTTGTTTTCAAAAATAAGTGTAATATAAAATAAATTCATATAAGTATGTAGTCCAACTAAAACGAGTAATCGAACCTCGAGCGCAAACTAGTACTGGAACCTCAAGCGCAAACGATTACTTGTAACGAGTAACGAGTACAAAGTAACGAATACTTTTTCTGAAAGTAACGGATAGTTACAAATACTAAAAAGTAACTTTACATCACTAATGCTTACCCAGATAATAACACAGGTAACTTTGAATTGAAAATTTTTATTTTTTCGGTATTACGGTGTTGTTTTTAACTCTCAAGGTTAGGTTAGGCTAAACCTAACCTAACCTAATTAAGATTTGATTTGACAAAAATTACTGAATAAATCTTTTTTTTTCAGAGTCTATGTCAGCGTCAGCATCAACAATCTTTGTTACTGATAGCACTTTATGTATAAATGACAGCGATGTTGTGATGACCCCAAAGCCGTCTACTTCTAAAAGCAGCATTTCAAGCTTTGTTATTCGAACCAGTCAATCAGAAAAGAATAAGTTGGATCTACAAATAGCCCGATATTTATATGCAACAAACACATCATTTCGTGCAGTTGAACATCCCGCATTTAAAAGAATGATAAATGCATTACGTCCTGGATATAAGCCACCACATAGGAATTCTGTTTCTACCGACTTGCATGATAAGGTTCATAATTTAGTACAAAGAACAATTAAAGAAAATTTATGCAGCAAGAAGGTTTGTTTGGCGCTTGACGGCTGGAGCAACGTTCATAATGAACCCATAATAGGCGTATATGTCGTAGATATAGAAAGTGAACGAGTGCATCTGATAGAGTCCATTGATACGAGTGGGAATGGTCACACTTCTGAGTATTTATTACAACTACGTAAAAATTCTATTAAGAAATGTGAAGAATATAATTGTGAGGTAACTAGTATAGTCACAGACAATGCTGTAAATGTGACCAAAATGAGAAGGGATCTGTTTGAGGAATTAGACAGGAAAGATATAATAACTTATGGTTGTTCAGCCCATATATTGAACTTACTTGCCCATGATATAGAACTTATAGAAGTGCCAGGAATAAAGAGTAGTACATTTTGCTAGCGCAAAATTCTGAGAAGCTGGTGGTTCTGGTCTTGTATTGCCTCAGGATGTTCGTTGGAATACTTTATCGGACTGTTTGGAAAGTTACTTGAAAAACTGGTCAATATTATTCAACGTTTGCTCAAACAACAGAACAAGTATTGATAAAGATATAATAACCCTTGTAAACGACACCAATTTAAAGACAAATGCCCGAGACTATTTAAAAAAATTAAAGTATATCGCAGTTGCTTTGGACAAAGTTCAAAGAAACACTTCCACTATAGGAGAGGCTACAGAGCTATGGCTAGAACTTTTGGAAGCATTCGAGAATGAACAAGCAAATGGAGAATTTTCGGTGATACCAATGAAGTCAAGGAGCGTATGAAAATGGCTTTGACCCAGCTCATTTTTTGGCAAATTTGCTTGATCATCACTTTAGAGGAAATAAACTTAGTCAAGAGCAAATAGAAACTGGCATGGAATATGTAGATACTTATCATCCAGAAGCATCGCCAATTATTATTAATTACCAGGCAAAGTGTGTACCCTTTAAACCATATATGTTTTCTAAACATCTAATTGGGAATGTAAAACCATTGGCATGATGGCGTTCTATGAAAAATATATATACGACAGCATTGGAACTTGCTCAACAGCTTTATACAGCTATTGCATCGTCAGCCAACATAGAAAGACTCTTCTCATCATACGGTTTAGTCCATTCAAAACTACGTAATCGGCTAGGCAACGTCAAAGCTGCTAAGTTGGTTTCAATTTTTAAACAGCTTAATTCCATCAGTGATGACGTGACTGATCAGACATCAGATTGATGACTTAGATGACAATGAGACTGAAAGAGTGTGAGAAATTTGTTAACGCTTGTATACAAAATGTTTTAAGTTTTCCAATTTTTCTTGTGTTCCTATTATTAATAAATAAATAATATGTGTGTTAAAAAGTTTGTATAATGAGAATTTTTCCTATTTTTATTCATTGTAGTATTAATAAAGAAAATGAAAAAAAAACGCTTGTTTAATTTAAGTGTTTTAAACTGTTTTAAACAAAAACTGTTTTAAACTTAAGCAAATGTTTAAAACAGTTGATTAAAACAAATTGTTTAAATGTTGCGTTTTAAACCCTGGTTAATATTGACTGTACTAGATCCAGAAAAAAATCTAAAATTAAAAAAAATATCGATGACGTCCTCACGTACGAACTCATTAAAAAATGGCGGTAAGAATTTAAAATCTACACCAAAAAATTATAAAAATGTAAGTCTTCAGACCCGTTTCAGGGATCTTTCCACAAACTGTTTATAACGATTTTATCGCCTAGGGTAAACGCACCAGTGTTTGACCTGTTAAGGATTTTTTAATGTCAGTGTTAGACCGAGCCATATTATTTTTCTTGTAGATCCCTCTGCCTTTACATAAAATGATCAAAATATGATCAAATACACATCTGATTCATTTAAAGTTACTTACCCTACATATAAAATATAACATCATGAAGTAATATTTTTTTTAAATTAATAAGGAAACCAGTATTTCGCATTTAGTGTTTGACCACTTTGATTACACTACTTGACCAATAATATCTAGTCTTTGACCTTAAAACCGTCAATGTTTGACCGATTCGTAATATAATATTCATTTTCATTATTTTTTCATACTATTTTGTTCACAAAAAAATGTTTATATTTTTTGACTCTTTAAGAACATCTTTTAAAACAGGAGCAAAATGCTCTTGACTTAACTTTTCACCCAAATTTTGTGTTTTCCAACTTGGTTTTTGAAACAGGAAAACCCCTATCTGCTAAATGAAACAACCATTCAACCAGCAGTTTTTCTTCATCAGAATTTAAAAATACTGGTGGGCCCATTTTCCTCTGCACTGGTGTTTTTCCTTTTTCTTTATAAATAAGATTTTACTTTGGAACGTTAAACATCTTGGCTGCTTTTTCATAAGATAAACCCCTACTTCTTACATCGAGAGTCTTTTGAAGATCTTCTTCACTATTTTTAATCTTAGGCTTCGTTGTCATATTGGTACTGAAGAAATGTTAACCTGATTCATATTTGCTAAGTTTTCCATATAGATTTTCCATTTTTTGATAATTGACCACTATAAGAGTCAGCGTTTGACCAACCTTTTATCCTTTTAATTTTACAGACTCATTACTGCTTAAATGCGGTCAATTACTTTTATTGTTATAAAAAAGGTTTAAAAAAATAGAAAAGAATCAAATTCGAATCGAATTTATATTACGCTTAAATATTTATAAAATTTAAAATCGGTTAAAAAACTCAGTTTTGAGTGTTTGTGTCCTATAAATGACTAAAAGAGGAAGCAGTAATTGACCGCATATTTAAACTGATTGTATCTCACTTTTAAAGTATAAAAGTTTTGGTCAAATACTAAAGAACTTAAACGGGAAGATATAAGTTTTAAAAACAGGTATTTAGCATTTTTCCATTTTATTAATCACATATAAATCCTTGTGAGATTATAAAACAACCAATTCGTCTAGTATTTGACCGTTTGGTCAAACACTAATTAATTATTAATTAAATTTAGAACTACCAGTCATTGACCGGCTTTATTTCAACGAACAATTAATTAAAGCGGTATTTTTTTAATATAACCAATAGAAAACATTATTAGATCACTGGCAAACAAAAAAAAACATGATATATGTAAGTGCGGCTGAATAGTACTACCCTGTTTGGGCGAATTTCTAAACATAAAAATTACGCTTTTTAGCACGATGCGAATAGGCCGGCAGTTAGCGCGAAATTAAACAACAAAAACTCAAGAACGTATGGTCGTGGACTTTTTGTATACTAGAGAGTGGAGAGGAGACTGGTGGCTATTTATGGATATATTTATATTTTTTTAGATATTCCTTGGATCCTTATTTTTACATCTTTTTACAAAAAGGGTCAAACACTGACCAACGGTCAATTACTGGCGTTTTACCATACATCCGCTACTTTACGGACATAATGTATAACCAAAAGTTATTATAACACTGTATTAAAATAAAATAAAACACAAATTTTCATTAAAAAGAATATTATTAAACATCTATTGAATTATATAATTAGGTTTTAAACAATTACATTAGATTTTATCACAAGTAAAAAAGAGCTGCAAAGTAAAAACTTTTCCTCATCACATAAAAATTTTATATCTAACAAAAAAAAAAGAAAATAGAATAAGTTAGTGATAATAGCGATAGCGAGCGTATCGTCATTCACACATATGGTTTTGATTCCCTCTTGTAGACTCAACTTCTCCATGTTTAGTGTTACTTCCACTAGGAAAAGTTTCAACATATTCAACATCATTATCAGACTCCACAGTTAAATCTATGCTACTTTCCTCGTCCGAATCGATGATTTCAATAATTTCTGGATATATTAAGTATAAGTCTTTATTCTCTAGTAGTTTTTTCTTGTACTTCTTGCGAAGTATTGATTTATCAGGAAGACATGAGGTCGGTGGTTGGCTTGCTGTACCCTGTTGATCAAATTGTTGATTTGTTAGATCTGGAATGTTGTTTGATTCCAAACAAACTTTAACCGAGGCTAAAATATCACGCCACAAATCCATTTTTGCGTTAAATGTGTTGTGGGGATAGGTTAGGTTCTTCATTATCGGTTTTACTTTTGTATTAAACAATTTATCCTTATTATTTAGCATAAAATCAACGAAATCAAAAATATCATAGTTGCGATAATTCCAACCCAGCGACCAATTTGATTCAAAAAACATAAAATTTCTTTTATGATCAATGCATTTAATGCAATAACCAGAATCGTCTGTTTTATCTATTGAGATACACACAGGATTTTGTTCGATTAAAGCGGTTATTATCAATTTTCTTTCTTCGAATAACTTGCTACATTTTCTTAATACGTTTAAGGCTAAGTGTAAATTTTTTTGTCTTTGTAAGAAATTCGTACAACTTGCCAACTCTTTTTGTTTGTTTGTATTGTAGATTTTTATTTTTAATGTTCTTATAAGCTCCTTATTCTATAACACTCAAAATCAACATCAAAATGAACTTAAAAAGCTAGGATTATACTCACAAAAGTTGAACACACTATTTTTAAGTGAAAATTTAATCTATTTAAGATAACATCTACATCATACTGCTCCAATTTCCATCCAAATATTAGAGGGACGGGTTTGATGATAATGTTAACAAACTTAAAATCGTTGCAAACACTTTGCAAGTCAAATTTTCTTTTGAATTTGCAAAGAGGTGTGTGTTGGTGTCTATCGCCGTAAACGTTACCGAAATCTATTACTTCCATTTGCTTGGTTTCTTGGAAATCAACAAAGGGGAGAAATATCAATTATTTACAACCAATTTTTATCTTGAACACTTGAAGTATATTTTAACATTGATATGATAACATTGATAATCCCATTGTTCACAGTCATCCTGGCTGGTTTACTGGTAATTTTGTCTATTTCAAAACGCTTTATTTAAGCTTGTTAACTTTTAAATAAAAATATACATCTATTTTTAGAATATCTCCATAGAAACTCGTACACACCTGAGGACCTCTTGTTGAAGATTGCACCAGTAAACAATAAATACGTTAAGTGTTAAGGATTTTATTACAAAATGAAAATAATACGTGAAAGTCTGCTTATTTTAATGAATTAATCAATGTTTTAAAGTAAAAAAAATATATTATTTTTATTTGAAAAGTGTAAAATATTAATTAAAGTTGGCAACAATTGACATTATCTGTCAAACACGTGTTTTATAGGTTATGTTTTATTTGGCCGTCAAAAATTAAAGATGTCTCAAATTTTTGATGATTCTGACGCTTCTGACGACGATAAAGGCTTTAAAGTTAATAATGAATACGCTAAAAATTATAATAATTGGAGACAAAAAGAGGAATTAAATAAACGTATGTTTTTTTTTGTAAGTTTTAAAAATATTAATTTATAATTTTAGTAAAGACGAAATATGGAGAATCTGCTTTAGAATTATCAGATGAAGAAAATTCAAGCAGTTCAGATGAAGATGAAGATGGTGCATTATTAACAGAAGAATTTGAGAAAGATTTTTATGCAACATTGGCGAGCTTAAAAAAGAAAGATCCAAAAATATATGATGGAAATATAAAGTTTTTCAAAGAATTACCAGAAGGGTCTAAACCTAAATTTAAAAAAGCTAAAGATGAACCAATGTTTATTAAAGATTATGAACGTAAATTGTTATTAGAGAAAGGTGGGAATTTAAGTGATGATGAAGATGAAAATGCAAAAAACAGAAAATCACCAACTTACATAGAAGAACAAAAAAAATTAATTGATGATTTAAAGAAGGGTCTTAAAAATGTAGATGAAGATGATGATGATACTTTTAAGGTGCGAGATAAAACTAAAGATGAACTACAAAAAGAAGATGAAGATTATAAACAGTGGCTTTTGGGTCAAAAAGAAGAAATTGATGATCAAGAAACGCAAACAAATTTAAAACCATTAAAAGATTTTTGGTCCGATCCTAAATTAGATAAAAACGAAAAATTTCTTAGAGATTACATTTTAAATAAAAGATTTTTAGAAACCGACGATAAAAACTACATACCGAGTTACGAAGAAATTATCCATGATTCCGATGAAGGTTTATCAGAGGATGAAAAAGAAGTTGATCGTCAAGACGAATTCGAACATAAATATAATTATAGATTCGAAGAACCTGATGATGAATTCATCAAAAGGTATCCTCGAACAATGGAGAATTCAGTCCGTAAAAAGGATGACAAAAGAAAAGTTAAAAGAGCTGAGGTGAAAGAGAGAAAACAGAAAGAAAAACAACAAAAAATGGAAGATATACGTAAATTAAAAGAGTTAAAAAGGAAAGAAATCGAAGAAAAAATACAACAATTAAAAGAAATCACTGGAAATACTGATATTGATTTTAACGATGATGATATTGATGGGGATTTTGATCCAGAGGCGCATGATAAAAGGATGCACAATCTTTTTAATGATGAATTTTATCAAGGTGAAGAAGGTGAGGAAAAACCTAAATTTCCTGAACTTGATGAAGAATTGGAAATTGAAAATTGGGATCATTATGAAGAAGAAATTGGAGATGAGGAAAATAATGGTCCACATTGTGAAGATGATGATTTCATTGTTAGTTATGAAATTATTATTGTTTTTTACATTTTAACCCTCAGAAGTGGCCCCCATATTTTTTTTATTATTAGTGATATAAGAAAACCATTTGGAATGCATAATGGGCCATTAAAACAGATTATAACAACATGAAATCATTCTCTGTGCTTCAGATTATACCGGATGTGAGTACTAATTTTGCTATTTTTTTAAATCTATAATTTTTTTTCTTCAGTTGGGTAGATAGCATAATTTTACTTAAGTTTTACTTGAAAAAATTAGTACGATCGCTTATAAATTTTGAAAAAAAAATTATTTTCGTTATTTTTTAACGTTTTACTATATTCGCAAAATGTATTACAACGTTTAACGCATGGTAGCTAGGTTAACTCTTACTGGAGCAAGTGTTTAACATAAAATTTTGCTTTCTTAAAGTCTTGCTTATAAGATTTTTTTAGATTCTTTAAGTAAACGATTTTAAAAGGTCATATACAGGGTGACTGGTACATAAACGTGAATATTGAAATACGTTGTTCTAGAGCTCATTTGTAACTGATTAAGCCACATATGCCTTATGCAAAGCTGAATAGTTTAGGAGTTATTTCAATTTTTTGTTTTTTGTACAAATTCAGTACATACTCTTACAAATCTTGAAATTTAGCGAGTAATAATAGTTTCTTTGGCAATATATTGACTTCTCTGGATAGATTACACTCTAATACACATTTTAAGTTGAAAAACATTTTAAATATTTCGATGCTTAAAAATATAGGGTGTGAAATATTCGATTTTTAAGTTAATTTTTAAATAATGTGTTCATTTACGAGCGTTTATTTCAAAATTTTGATAATACATTTAGCGTACCAATTATTGTAAGAACTTCTCTGTTTTCTTACATTTCGAATAAGGTATTAAGCATGGCAAAAAGTCTTTCTAATTACCCAATAATAAGACAACAAGTGGCGCGAATACAATTTTGTAGGATGATATTGTATATCCATATTGCGAGGACTATAATTAAGAAATAGATTAAGGTAATAGAAACTTCTTTCTCGCTAAATAATTATAATTTCATTTACTCAAAAAACCGGTTTTCGGTCATATTCAGGCCATCATCAGTTTGAATCTACAAAAAACAATATAAAAATGCAAAAACATAATCGAATCAAATTACAATTTAAATTCTTTTCTTTACAACATTAAATAAAATAATAAAATAAAACTTACAGTCAAAGTTTTAAAAAGAACGCCGAACCATGACAATTGCACCACATAAAAAATTATTATTTTTGAGCACATCAACACAAGCCAAAAAGCGACAAAACAACGATAGCCCTAACGATATGATAAAATATTAAAACAATCTAAAAAACCCGAACATACATATCTTGCACATTTAAAAAACGTACGAAAATGAGGGCAGACAGAAAAATATCATAAGACACCTCGAGTCGAAAATAGACATTAAAGGAAAAGGAAAAACAAGGATGGGACGAGGAAACTACAGATTGGAGCAGGTTCTCAAAGTGGTGCCTTTAAATTTTCAGGTTTTATATAGGTGAAAAGGGGTTTGTAAAATAATTGAATTTGTTCATTAATTAACGTAACAGAAGGGTTTTTCTTATAAGAGGATATTTCCAGATATTCAAGTAAGTCAAGTTTGATACCTTTACTACAAGTATGAATTAGATTAACGTTATCATAATCTATATTATGTCCTGTCTCTATATAATGTTTGTAAACATTAGAATTAGGTTTTTGTTTATGTTCTTCTATTCTACATGCGAGTTTTCTTCCCGTTTGACCGATGTATATAGAGTCACAGTTAAGACAATTAATCGAATAAACACCACTTGTCTAATTTATCAAGTTTTCGATTATGGTTAGATAAAAGATTAGCTATTGTATTTCTATTAGAAAAAGTTAAGAAAATGTTATATTTGGAGAATATGGGTATAATCTGTATAAGGCAATGGTCAAAAGGTATGGATTTAAAAATATATGTGTTGGGATTTTTCTTGTATAGAGGATCGAGTTGCAGTTTATGTTGGCGGATGAGCCGAAATATTACATGACGTGGAAAACCGTTATCGTTAGCCAATTTGAAAATGAATTTAAGTTCGTTATTGAGATTGTACTTATTAAGTGGGTATTTATAAATTCTATTTATAAGAAAACGAAAATTGGCCAATTTTTGGTTCATAGGGTGAGAGGAATCGTAAGGGATAGTTGTAGAAATCGAGGTGGATTTTCGATAGATATTGAAACTAGGAACGCCATTGTTATTAGTAATAGTGAGATCGAGAAAATTAAGGCTTCTTTCATTTTCGATTTCGATGGTAAATTTTAATAAGTTGTGGATATTATTTATGTAATCATGAATAAAAGAGATTAAGGGAATTATAGTCGCCGTTCTAGATGCAAAATATGTCGTCAACGTAACGTATCCATTTAGTGATGTTTTTATTGAAAGGATTGTTGACATTATTGATGAAGTTTTGCTCAATGTGATTTAGGTAGATGTCAGCCAATAAACCTGAAAGCGGCATGCCCATAGGTAAACCCTCATTTACTTTAAAAAATTCATTATCAAATGTGCAGAAATTCTGAGTAATGATATGTTTAAGCACTAGATTAAGATGTTCTGAAATATTATGATTCTTAAAATATTTATTAAAGATGTCAAGTACCAACTTTGAAGTTAAATCAGTAGGTATATTTGAATATAAATTATTAATTATTAATAAATTATTATTTATCATTAAGATTAACATCTTTAAGTTTGTTTATGAAATTTAATGAATTAGTACCTAACAGTGAATTGTGGAGTAAAATCAATTTCTTTGAAGATATTGAGCATAAGTTTTGACAATTTTATGGTAGGAGAATTCAGAAAAGAGGTAATTGGGCGTATAGGCATATCTTTTTTATGGAGTTTTGGGAGAGAATAGAGATGAGGAATGGAAGGATTCATAGGAATAAGAAAACAAGATAAATAATTGGCATTAGAACATTTTAGAACAAATTCGATCAAGGTGTCTTTACAAATCTTAATTATCTCTTTTGTTTTCTTAATTACAGTGTCTAGGGGACTCTTATTTAGTTTTATATAGTTATTTCCATTCATGAAATCATGTGTCTTTGAAATATATGACTGTTTATCAATGATAACAAGACATTTTTATCTGCCTTAACACAAATTGCGTTGCTGTTATTAATTTTAGTTTTAATAGATTTAACAGTCTTCCAATGTTGTTTTGAATGGCAATTAATATTACGTTTCTCCAACTTTTTAATAACAGGTAATAAATCATTCTTAATTTCATTGCTTTGAGGGTGTTTGTGTATAGCATGATCCAGATCAATGGCCATTTTACATAGATCAAATTTAGGAGATAGAGCATATTTATGACCTTTATTTAACAAATTTAGTTCAGGTTCTGTGAATGAAATGTCAATTAGATTGGTCACAAATTTGAGTTTTGTGGAATGAATAGGGTTGTTGGAATTGACTTCTGTATCTATGGTTACGTTTTTACGTCTCTTCATTTTCATGCTTTCATTCCTCCTCTTACATGTAGCATTAGAACGAAGATTAATGATCTTGTTTAGTTTCTTACGTCTATCTTCGTTTTTGATATTGCAAGCTTGATATCTTGATTGGATGATGATTTCTTCCAGTTCTGTGTAATGATATGTATCTCTGAGGATTCGATGTAAGTATGCCAATTGTTCTAGTAAATAGTTGAGTTGTTTGAACTTACAAAATATGCTTCCTATACACACTCATCATGGCAAGACGACATTCTGCCATAGTGCTTCTAAGCCAGGTTTTATTGTCCTCAAGCTGTTAAAAGATCGTTCAACAGTATATTATGTCGTGCAGGGTAAAGTGACCAAAATTATAAAGGCTTTTCTCGTTTCAGGGAAAAAAATATCGGCATCTTTTATGACATCCACAACACTTAATTCTTTTGAGTCAGGTTTATCTTGCCATAGTTTTTTCCATAGTTCGATTACGTTGTTGACAATTGAAAAATTGTAATAATATCTTTGATGGTACCTTACTTTGATGAAGGAACAAAGCTTTTTTTATATTTTCTGCGTAGGATTGCTTGCACACCACCTTCTAAACTGACACATTTGTCCGGATCATGATCTTCTTCTGCCAAAAACTCATCTATTGCTTTTGCAATACATTTCGCATCCAAAGCATCAACCTTGACGAATCCGAGGAATACTTCTTGAACTTCCTTGGTTTCCTGATCAAAATATGACATCCCAATCGATAGTTATTCAGTACCCGAGATGTATATTTATTGTGTTTTAATTTTTTTAAGCTAAAATTCAAAAACCGAGTACTTAGAAATTTTTCCCGGCCATAATCTTTTGAGACATCATTTTTGAGGTCATACCGGGCATATAAAAAAAATCAATTTTTCGAAAATTCTAGAGTGGCTTATCCCCTTAAGTCATCTTAATATCCATCCCTACACGCAGAAACGCTTAAATACTCATCCTCTAAACAACTTTCTTATTTGATAGGGGAAAACTATAGCAGTATATCTACCTTATCGAAAATTTTCTGCTCTTTCTAATAGCACCTTTTACACCAAGAGTTTTTTCGACAGTTTTGGAGCGTATATTTGGAGCGCACACAAGCGTGCATGTTGGACCGCGCTCTTGGAGCGTCCGCTCACGGTATGTGACCAACAAAAGTAACGACCTGCATTCCGAACACCCGGTTTTGACGCGTACAACTCATAAGTGTGCATTGGTGTGCATATAAATGCAAAAATATGACATTTTACTGACTTTTGGAGTGGAGCGTAGAATTTCTGCCAAGTTGAAATTTTTGAAGACACTCCTATACTTTGTTTAGTCACCTTTGCGAAAACATTTCAGTTACAATTATTGTTTTTAAAAATTATTCCAAACTTTATCATGTTCTCAAGAAAAAAGTGTTATAATCGTTCAGTTAGTATTATTGCACTTTATGTATTTGTGACTTCGCAAAACAAACCTAGAAGAATATGGGTGAAAAAATGGCGTCAGCATAAAGAGAAATATGGACATTTGTCTCTTTTGAGGGAACTTAAAGAAAATAACCCAGATGATTAAAATTAATTACATTTAAATCACGTATTCTCTGTAGGGTTAAGTTTTGTGTTCCTTCGAAATGTAAATCTTGGCGCGTTCGAACCTAAACTTTTCTGTCAAGTAAACAAGTATAAACGCTGTGCAGGTTCTAACCTGCGTTCCAACCACGTGAGCCGCGAACGCGCGCTGGGCACGTCTAAGATCGGCATGTTTACAAGGGTAGTTTTGGTACGCGCGCTATGGATTGTACGCTCCAAAACTATCGAAAAAACTGTTGGTGTAAAAGACGCTAATAGTGTATAACACCCGGCGGTCACGCGCTTGCACAAGTACATTTTTGGCCAAAAACTGCAAAATTAATCCGTTTTAACCATTTTTAAACCTTGTTTGGGTCGATAACATTCTTATATGACCAGGAGAAAACTCTTGAACTATATCTACCTTATCGAAAATTTCCTGCTCTTTCTACTGGTGTATAACAAATATATGGGAGGCGTAGACTTACATGATAATGGAATTTCCAACTATAGGATAAATGTGGGAGGCAAAAAGTAGTGGTGGCCGGTGTTTGTTAAATTTTTAGACAGTACCATCGTCAATTGTTGGAAATTGTTCAACATGGCAAATACTAATAAAATGACGCAATTGAACTTCAAGTCATACATTGCAGTACGTCTGATGAAGGCACCATTTAGAGGTAGAGGTTCCTGCAGAAGTTCGTATTGATAACGTAGGTCATATCATCAAGGAAGAAGATAACAAAGCCAGACGACGTTGTAAATTGTATAAAACTCATACTATTTATATTTGTGCGAAGTTTAAAGTACATTTACATATTAAATGTTTTCAGGATTACCACAAGTAAATATACATATGTTTAGCCAAAGGTGCATTTACGCAACATCATCTTTTTCACATACCCAATTTTTTTTTTGATTTGATATATGCCGAATCGTCTTAGTTAACATATTTTTTGCAATAATCAATAATTTTGTTTTAAAATTTACAATTATTTTCTATCTTGGCCGTAAATGGGTTAAAAAGAACCACTGCCTAGCATAGCAGTGATCACTGCCCGAGAGATGGGAAATGATGAGGAACACAGCATAGGTTATACTATTAATCTAGCGACTATTCGTCAAAACTTGTAATACATTTTCCGAAAGTACTAAAACGTTAAAAAATATCGAATATATAAAATATCGTGTATAAATATCGTGAAAATTTTTTCAAGTAAAAGTTATGTAAAATTATGTTGCGTACCCAACTGAAGGAAAAGAAATTATAGATTTAAAAAAATAGCGAAATTAGTGCTGAGATCCGGTATAACGGGAAGCACAAAGAAAATGATTTCATGACGTAATAATCCGTTTTAACGGCCTAATTACGCATTCCAAATGGTTGTCTTATATCACTAATAATAAAAAAAAAATATGGGGTAAGCCACTTCTGAGGGACACCCGGTATACACTCCGGTTAAATAAATCTCGGTATAACTTGAAAAGTCAATTCTCGTCAGTTTAAAGATCAATATATCGAGAACCGTCCGATGAAAAAAATTGCTGTTAGCTTTGTTGTATTCACTGAACATTTCTATGTGACATATTATGTGAATTTGAAAATTTTCGACTCCGCGGTTTTCACAAAATCGCGAGTTAAATGAAAAACGTTGCCTATTTTTGACGGTGCTAGCAAGTTTGTCCACTTTGCGATTTTTTTTCTCAAAAACTATTTGACAAAAAAATTACCCTGATGTGTTCTTAATGAAGTGAAAGTTTATTTTAGTTACAACCTAGTTTACAAAAATTTAAGTTTGAATTTAATATTTTTATATTTGAAAATTAACTTGTTTAATGTTAAATTTAAGTTTCGAATTTTACGAAGTGCGACGACGTCGCGATGATAGCTTAGTCTCCTTCTTCGTAATTGTGCTCTGGATTAAATACTATAGGAAATGCTTATTTAGCATTTACTCTTGGAGGGCATCTATAACTCCTCGCGCCAAAGAGGGAAACATTGCCTAGAATTTTCTTAAAATGACTATGTTTGTTTCCCTGGGTTCTATTTGAGTCTTTCTTCTTTCGGTGGACTAATCTTTTTTTCTGTAAATTTGCTTAGTTATCAACCCTGCAATTATACCGAGATTTATTTACCCGGAGTTTATCTAGCGACTGTAGAACCGGCACTAAATATGTTTTTGGTTTTGTAGATGGATTGTGATTATGACCCAAACGCATCAAAAGATCCAAATGAAACTAAAGGAAAGAAAAAGCGTAAAAGAAAATCAAAATTCGCTAAAGTTGTTCAGGAAAAGAAACCGGTTTTTGATCCGAATGATAAAACTTATGAAGAATATCTCGATGAATATTATAAATTGGATTGTGAAGATATTATTGGGGATATTCCTTGTCGATTTAAATATAAAAAGGTTGTACCAAATAGTTTTGGGCTTAGTATAGAGGAGGTAAATACTATTATTTATTAATTTTTTGTAAAGTAATTCTGGGTTTGTAAATTTAAGATTTTAATGGCAAAAGATCGTGAATTAAACAGATGGTGTTCATTAAAAAAAGCGGTACAAATTCGTCCGGATCATGTTGAAAAATATGATGTTATTGCTTATAATAAAAAAGCAAGTAATGAAGGTTTAAAACAAAAAATTTTATCTAGTTTGTATCAAAATGAAGATAATAGTGCATCAGACCCAACCACATCGTTGGCTAAAAATAATAAAAAGGACTCCAAATTGAATAAGAAAGAGGTTAAGAATGCTAATGTAAATTATGCTGAAATAGTTGAGGAATTAAATAAAATAAATACTGAAGAACAAAAAGAGGATGGGAAAATTATTGGAAACTCTCTAAAAAAAGAGCAAAAGAAAAAAAAGAAAGGTGGGAAAAATAAAACAAAACGAGATGATCAAGAAAAAAATTTAGTTGATGCAGAATTAAATGTATCTCTTAATAGAGAAGTGAAACAAGTAGAAGAAAATGAAATTGTGAAGAAAGTAAATGAAAAGAAAATAATTGATCAAAATAAAGTAATAGAGGAAGAGAAAAATGTACAAAAAAGTAAAGGTAAAAAGAAGAAGAGTAAAGACACGAAAACGGAAAGTAATCAAAATGAGGAAGTGGAAAACAATAAAAAGAAAGGTAAAAGAAAATATTCCGAAACAGATATGAGTAAAGTTACAAAGAATAAAGGGGCGAAAAAAATAAAGAACGCTAAACCTGATGGATTTGACATTTCAGATTCTCGATTGTTAGCCTTTGGTATAAAACCAAAGAAATTTAAGAATAAGCTTAAATATGGTAAAAAGTAATAGAAACATGTTAAGTGTAAAAATGTTATTGTTCATACAATAAAAATTTTAATTAATTCCGTTTAATTTATTGTATACTTATTTGTCTTTGAGCTTTAAGTTTAAGAACATAAGTGCACTTTTAAATAAAGTTGTTAAGTTGGTAACCTTATCGTCCTTATCTAACGGATTGCACAAAACTCGTCTTTTACTTCTTTTGTATCTTACATCTTTTATATTTGGGTCGATTCTTCCGGATTGGATTTTGATATAAAAATTTACCGATTACATGTTGTGTACCGTTGTACACAACATGTGCATTAACGTGAATGAATTTTTTATTTTTTTTTTATATTTTTTCACTCTTGTTCCTTTCTCAACTTTTTTCTTAATTTAATCAACTCCTTTTTGAAGCATTAATAGCAGTAGGTATTAGCAGATTCTGGAATTTCCTCCTGGAACAGTTAAGATCACACCGCGTGACCTTGACTGTTCAAGCAGGAGGTTCCAAAGACCTTGATCTTGAATGATCCAGCATCGCCTAATGGTAAGCAGGAATGAAGGTTAACCAGTGACCTTTAAAATGAAGGTGATTAAAATTTAACCTTGAAATTAAGGTCATTAAACATTACAATGCCAAGACTTGCAGAGTGAATTTTAACCCACCCAACATCTACAATGGTTAAGATTGGAGTGATAGAAAATAATCTTTAAAGGCCATGGGTCATTATCGGTTATCTTTAAAGTGACGGTCATTAAAATTTAACTTTGAAGATAAGATCTCAAAGGTGATTATCGACGCTTCAAAGACAGTTGGATCCGGAATAGGCATCAGCGGACCAAATAACCCAATTAAGTTGTCCATCAGCTCGGATACAACCATTTTTCAAGCTGAAGTTCTTTCCATAATCATCTGCACCGTTTTGAACCTTTGAAAAGGGGCATCGATAAACATCTTTACCGACAGTCGGGCCGTCCTAAAAGGCAATTCAGGCCTACACGTGTGAATCCGCCCTGGTCAAGGAATATACCGGCAACCTAAGAAAACACGTCAGGAGCAATGAAGTTACTCTACGGTGGGTTCCAGGTCACAAAGATATTGAGGATAATGAAATGGCGGACAAGCTGGACAAAGAGGCAGCGAACACCCCAACCCGGCTATGAGCTACAAAAAAAAAACACTTAAACCATGTAATTAGCACGTGGGAGGACTCAAAGGTGGCCTTCCCTTGGAACGAACTTCCAGGACGCAGACATGCGAACAGTATGATAACTTCGTCGCAAAAGAAAACCAAAGACGTTTTATGCCTCAGCAAAGGTGACCTAGTTCGCTCTCAGGTTTCCTGACCAGCCATACGCCTGTAAATTACCATCTATTCATGGCTGGGCAAAATACGTGACATAAACTATTTGAATTACAAAATACAAATAATCACGCCAACCATTCATTTACTTCAGGCGATAATTCAACTTTCGAAATCGTATTTCCAACAAATTTATTAGTACATTTACCATAATGCCCAGCGTGACGAAGATTTTGCTCTAGTAAAACTTTCAACCTTCATTTCACAATCAGTGAAAATAAGGTAGGTAGTAAGTGGCCATAATAACAATCAGGTGTTACAGGAGGAAAGGAAAATATTTCGAGGACGTATTCAGAAGGTTAAAATAATTCAAATAAACACTTATGTTTAAGTCCGATTCTCAACTGCTATAGAAATAACAGAATAATAATAATTAACTTCCAGAATCGATTTAGTGTAAACGTATGGTGTGGTATGTTAGGCGATCGATTATTCGGTACATTTGTATTGGATCAGCATACGTCCATCGTACTGGGGAAAGGTACTTAGAGTTTTTGAAAGTTCACTTAACAGAAATTTTGGGTGATATACCTTCGTATGTTAGACAAAGATTGTACTTCCAACATGATGGAGCACCTCCACATTTTAATCCAATGGTTAGAAACTTCTTAAATACTCACATTCCAAATCGTTGAATTGGGCGTGGTGGTCCACAAAATTGGCGTACCCAATCACCTGATCTAAACCCCATCGATTATTATCTTTGGGGGTGGATGAAAAGTTTGGTTTATGCGACAAAACTTCAAACGAGCCAGACTATGCATCGAAGTTGCCGGCGGAATTTGTGAAAATAATTGTTAAATCCTTCTTAATTGTTTGTTACTTGAAAAATAAAATGTTTTAAATTAATTTTTATTACGTCAATTATTTCTATAACAGTTGAGAATCGGACTTAAACATAAGGGTTTATTTCAATTATTTTAACCTTCTGAATACGTCCTTGAAATATTTCCCTTTCCTCCTGAAACACGCTGTATAAAGGATGTATCTGAATGACAGCAACAAATTTCTAGGGGTGATTCTTTAGTGAATTTTAAGGGTACTTTGATTGATATATGAACCATGGGCGACTTTGGCTTAAATAGGCATAAATTGAACGGGGGTGGTTACGTTTAGTAGTTTACAAGGGTAGGTTGAAAGTACAAATAGGGTCAAAACGTGCCCTATTATGAGTTAAACATATTCACCAAATTTCATTTTCCTAGCGTTTATGGTTTTTGAGAAAAAAAATTAAACCAAAAGTTTCCGCAGTTTTTGGAGGGGTGTAGCTTCTTAGGGGAGCCAAAGTCGCCCATGGTTCATATATCAAAGTACCCTTAAAATTCACTAACGAATCAGCCCTTGAAGTTTGTTACAGTCATTCAGATACACCTGTATAATATTCTCTTTGTAAATTATCCAATGTTGCAACAATTGATTTCATGACCACTCAAAATTCTGTTAAATATTCAAGCTCTATCTCTTTAAAAGTAGGTAAATTAAGTTTATTGATTAAATCATTTAATAGAGATTTGTATTTCAAAAGCGGAGTTGTAGCATAATATAACGAATTCCATCTTTTTGGACAAGGGTACAGAAAACGTCATGTATAACTTCAGATGATTTAGGTTTCTTGATAAGTTCCATAAAGCAGTGCATTTTGCGTAAGCTGGATGATGAAGCGAACAAAAAGTAAAGCAGTCTGTTGTATGTTGTCGATATAACTTCTATCTATTTCTAATTACAAAATACTTGAATTTTATTTTTCAAAACGGCTTTTAGCATTCAAAAGAGGATTCTTTAATTAATAATTGGTGATATTTCCACAAGGATCCTTCAAGAAATGAATTTTATAGCGAATTTTGAAAATTATTGATGAAAATCGTAACATTGAAAATTTTATCAAAACTTCATATATTTATATATAAGTATGAAAATTTCCCAAAATATTAATAAAAGTGTCCTCTTTCCAATGAACAAACACGTTTTGAAAAATAACTTAGTTTTTGAGAAAACAATATTTGAAGTTTTCATAAAATTTTCTATGTTACAATTTTCATCCATAACATTCAAAATTCACTATAAAATTAATTTATTGAAGGATCTTTGTGGAAATATCACCAATTATTAATTATAGTATCCTGTTTTTAATGCAACAAGCTGTTTTGAAAAATCACTTTTAGTTCTAGAGAAATAAACTTTTGAAATAATCCACATTTTTTTCGAATTTTGCAATTTTCACCGATTAAGTTTTAATACTTCGCATAAAATCGAGTTCTTGGAATATAAGTAAGGAAATTTCCCAAAATGTTGATAAAAGTGTCTTCATCCAATGAACCTATCAGTTTTGAAAAATAACTTTTAGTTGTTGAGAAAACAATATACAGTGCTAGCGTAAAGTAACCCCCCCCCTTTTTATCTTCCGAACAGATTGAGATATCAATATGAGCAAAAAAACGTCAGGTTCTATATTTTATCAGCACAAATATTTTCTTATGGAAAATTTTGCTATCAGTTTTAGTTTTTCCGGAAAATGGATCCACTTTGTTTTTTTAAATGGAACACCCAGTATATTATGGTATCTTCCGAAACACTCCTCACAATCAAATATCGGTTTATTAGTTTTTCGCATAAAAATTAAACAAAATGCGGAATTTCGCCGGAAAAACCAACGTATCTTCGTCGACTACCTGTCGAAATGCAATCGGCCAGTTAAATGGTGGACGGTAGGTTAACGGTAGGTATACGCTCGAGCTAAGACGGATTTAAAATTGATAGTTCCCTTACTTATTATTGAAGTATATTAAATTTATGAAATAATCATATTTTATAAAAAAATATTTATAAAGAAAAAAATCAAAATCAATATAAGAAATGAAATTTTTTTATTAAAGATTTTGTCGTATCGGTTGAAAAATTGGCTTAGTGTTGTTATTGAATAATAAAAGAATTTTTTATTTATTAAGAACAAACATTTTTGTAGTGTTTCTTCGCTCACACGGCTTAACATGTGATGATCAATATTTTGGCAGACGTCAATAATTTTTTGTTTTAAATCCTCAATACTGTCCAGCGAAATTTCATATACCTTGGATTTTAAATAACACCATAAAAAGAAATCTAAAGGTGTCAGATCTGGTGATCTTGCTGGCCCTTGCTTGTCAATCGGCCCACGTCGACCGATCCACCGTCCATTAAAATTTGTATCAAGATAATTTCGTACCATTGCCGCATAATGTGGAGGAGCCATTTCAAAATCGTCAGGATTCTGGTGTACAATTTGCAAAAGACTTGTATTAATATCTTCTTCTAATAATCTTAAATACAATTCCGGTCTAATTTTCGATTAGGAATATTGGTCCCACGATGTGATTTCCCAATATGCCTATCCAAACTTTATTTTATTGGGAAATTGAGTGTTAACTTCACGATATTCATGTGGATTAAAATCACTTCCATCCAAAAAGAAAGTACATTCATCACTGAAACAAATCTAAAAATATTTCCCCGCCGTTGTTGGACCCACATCACACGTTGATGCGATAGCAGTAGACGACATCATGCACGCATTAACTACTTCTGTTAACATCTGCATCTTTTGCGGTCTTCGACGCTTCCAGTTTCCAAAAACTTATTTAAAAGTTCTTTTAAATATTTTCGACTAATTGGATGTTCAGGAAATCGTTCATTAAATTGTCGCTCTGTTTCATGTAGATTTCTGTCAGCACGAGCGAATATTAAAATTGCTTCGATTTTGTGCTCTAAACTCCTTCTAGCCATTTTGATCTCGCCTTTCTTTGGTTATACTTGGTCGGGTAGAATTCCAAGATAGAAATGAAGGACAATATATGCATGCTGCCTTAAATACAAAATTTCAAGGTACCTACAAACTTTAAAATTGTTGTTATGACAATTTTTTCTTAGAACTTTTAAGAAGAACTTTCTTTTTATCCTTTTCTTGCATTGATTGTTTCATAAAAACATTCTAAAATAATTGCCGATTTTAACCCTAGCGTAGGCTGACCTTTAACTGACCGTCCACCATTTATCTGGCCCATTGTATCTCGACAGGTAGTCAACGAAGATACGTTGGTTTTTCCGGCGAAAGTTCGCATTTTGTTTAATATTTATGTAAAAAACTAATAAACCGATATTTGATTGTGAGGTATCGTTGGATTCGTGTTGTTTTATTCATTCGGAAGATACCATAATATACTGGGTGTTCCATTTAAAAAAGCAAAGTGGATCCATTTTCCGGAAAAACTAAAAGTGATAGCAACATTTTCCATAAGAAAATATTTGTGCTGATAAAATATAGAAACTGACGTTTTTTTGCTCATATTGATATCTCAATCTGTTCAGAAGTTAAACGGGGGGGGGGGTTACTTTACGCTAGCACTATATATTGTTTTCTCAACAACTAAAAGTTATTTTTCAAAACTGATAGGTTCATTGGATGAAGACACTTTTATCAACATTTTGGGAAATTTTCTTACTTGTATTCCAAGAACTCGATTTTATGCGAAGTATTAAAACTTAATCGACGAAAATTGCAAAATTCGAAAAAAATGTGGATTATTTCAAAAGTTTATTTCTCTAGAACTAAAAGTGATTTTTCAAAACGGCTTGTTGCATTAAAAACAGGATACTATAATTAATAATTGGTGATATTTCCACAAAGATCCTTCAATAAATTAATTTTATAGTGAATTTTGAATGTTATGGATGAAAATTGTAACATCGAAAATTTTATCAAAACTTCAAATATTGTTTTCTCAAAAACTAAAAGTTATTTTTCAAAACGTGTTTGTTCATTGGAAAGAGGACACTCTTATTAACATTTTGGGAAATTTTCATACTTATATTCCGAAAAATCGATTTTATACGAATTATTAAAATTTAATCGGCGGAAATTACAAAATTCGAAAAAATTGTAGATTATTTCAAAAATTTTTTCACAAGAATTGAGTGATTTTTCAAAACGGCTTTTTACATTAAAAAGAGGATTCTTTAATTAATAATTGGTGATATTTCCACAAGAATCCTTTAAGAAATGAATTTTATAGCGAATATTGAAAGTTATCGATGAAAATTGCAACATCGAAAATGTTATCAAAACTTCAAACATTGTTTTCTCAAAAAGTAAAAGTTATTTTTCAAAACGTGTTGGTTCATTGGAAAGAGGACACTTTTATTAATATTTTGGGAAATTTTCATACTTATATTCCAAAAAATCGATTTTATACGAATTATTAAAATTTAATCGGAAAAATTCGAAAAAACTGTTGATTATTTCAAAAATTTTTCAAGAACTGAAAGTGATTTTTCAAAACGGCTAGAGAAGAAAACTAAACGAAACTGCAACAAGGGATTTTATATATCGTATTGGGATTGTTACAATAATAAAGTTGTATTCAATGAAAAAATTCCTATTGGGGTTGGACTTGATTATTATCTGCACTGTCCAACACCTAAAAGAGATACTTATTCCTGTGAATGGTGGAGTACTAAATAATAGGATTTTAATATCCGGCCAAAGTCGGATATTTGGTAACTATTATGACACTACTTTCTGGTCACCCTAATATTTGAAAAAAGCTATAGCTAAGAAATGATATTTTCAAATCAAAAAAATAAAAATTAATTCACCAATTCTAATGAACGTATTTATTACAATCAATGTCAATTACAACCAAAAAAAAGAGGATTATTTTTTGATAAAGGCAACAACTTAATTATTAAAATGTACAAGGCTTCTGACAATACAAATCATTTTAGATTATAAAAAATTAATATTTTCTCTTCAAACTTTTGCAACATACTTTCATATCATTTAGTTTTATATTTAAGGTGAATTAGAAATATCCATATTATCCGACTTTTCTGAAGACTCCTTATCGTTTTGATTATCAGAATCTTGTGATTTTCTCTTTTCCTTCTCAGAATCAAACCCCTTTTCCTCTTCATCATAATTTCTAGAGACTTTTGAACGCGATGGCGATCTCTCTTTATCCTTCCTATCTTTCTTCTCCTTCTTCCTATCTTTATCGCGACTTCTCGATCGACTCCTCCTTCTACTTCTCTTAGGACTTGGCGTTCTTCTTCGCGTTCCCCTCGACCTTAACCTTCGCTTTTCTTTACGCGCTTTTCTATCTCTAGATCGAGAACGATATCTGCTCCGCGACCTTGACCTCTTTTTCTCCACCGGTTTCTCATCTACGCTACTCTCTCTATCGCTTCTTTTTTCCTTCGACTCTCTTCCTTCCCGCACTTCTTCCTTTTCTTTTCTTTCTGCGTCTCGATCCCTAGATCTGCGTTCTTTTGATACATCTCTCGAACGCCTTTCTTTTGAAACATCTCTTGATCTTCTCTCTTTAGATCGTTCCCTATCGCTCGATCTACCCCTGCTTTTTCAGACGAAATCATGCACAAAACCACCAAAGAAAGCCGCATTCATAATCCTGTTACGATCTACGATCAAATTATCGACACTTATCTCACAAAAATCAACTCTCCCAAGCCGCGGGATCGACAAGAGCTTTTAAATGCCCTAAAACGTAGATTCATTGAGCATCATCAAATTGACACAATCGTTGTTTTTTCGGGTAGCTACTTGTATATAATCATGATTGACCTAAAAGACGCAAATAAACCTTCACAAACCCAACCGATCCACGGCACCCAAACCATGATTTTGCAAGATCAGCAATGACTGAGATAAAGTTACTGTGCAAACATTAATAGCTATGTCCCAAAAAAGCACCTAATTGGAAACTATATTTCTGTAAACCGCATTCACGGTGCGATGTTCGTTGAAACTGAAGCCAAATCGCTAATTAATTTCAGGGATTGGACAATGATCCAAGAATTGGGAAATATTGTGAACAGGGGTGTCAGGAGCGGTGGTTATGGGCGATCGTGCATTACAAATTGGAAAAGCTAATCCTCCCAGAATAAATTCTCCACTAAACAACACCATCCATTTTACTTTTATGATTGGCACGGAAAGAGTACATATATTGTTGGTTTATATACATCCTTTTAGTAAGATAGAAGAAACAATATTTAACATGGCTGCACGGTACGACAATTGTCTAATAATCGGTGACTTTAACCCAAACCCAGCCAAAAACAGACACATCAACCAATTTGTGACTATGTCAAATTTTGTGCGCATCGCAACACCTCCGACGTTTGTCATGGCAAATAATCCCAACTCCAAGCCTGATTTAATCATGTGCACAAACAACATAAGACAGCTCATCACGTCTGTTAATGTCATTCCTGATCTGTGCTCTGACCATCTGGGTCTTGTGATCTGCATTAATACAACCACTCGAATACCTAAAGTAGCTCCTACTCTGATCAAAAACTATAAACTTTGTAATATGGAAAGAGTGAACGCAGGAATAAAGGAATATGTGAGATCTAACCCTTTTATTACACCCGAGTCTATCGCAACCTTTAATAAACGCTTGCTTAATTTGGTGGGTGTAGCGAGCCCTTCCAACATCAAGAAACATTACAATTTTCCTCTGCCACCATTTATTCTCCGTTTGATTAAGGAAAAGAGACGACTGACTACCGCGATTTTAGATCCTATAAGGAGCCTGCTCTGAAAAGAATGTTCAACGAGCTTAATAAAAATATCCAAAAAGTAGTGCAGCAATTCAGAAGCGAAAAATACATGGGGGCCTGTGACAAAATCAACAGAAGCAAGGGTAAAAACTTCTGGCAAGAAGTCCGCAAACTTTCGAAGTACCAGAAGTCGCCAGAAACCCATGAGCTTATTGACCCTACGGATGGCTGCTCATACTCTAGCCCAGAAAAAATCGTAAACATCCACGCTGAATACCTGGAGAGGGTGTTTTCCTTCAGCAATGAAGGAAAACACCTCCTATATCCTCTATTATCATATGCATCCTCAAGAAAGATTCTTCTCTATCCGACCCTGCGAACTACACAGTTTCACCGCTCAACCAGGTCTCCCTCAAGGCTCTCCCATCTCGCCAGTACTGTACAACGTCTACTGCCATGACATCTACAACGACAACCCAGACGTCTTCGATCTGAAGTCTTACGCCCTACTTTATGCCGATGATACTACTCTCGTCGCACATGATGTAGACATTTCATCATCAATCCTAATGCTGCAGACGCTCATCCAAAACATAGAGGAATGGTACCGAAAATGGCGTCCTTCCAAAACCCAATTCTTCATTCCCTTCCTCCCTATTCGAGTTGCTCCTCCCACAATAACAATTCATCTTCTCCTATCACAGCTTCGCCAACTTGCAACTACCTTGGCATTACCTTGGATAAAACCCTTAAATTCTCTGCCCACGCCATCTAAGTAAAAATGAAAGTCAAAAACCGCGCTAAACACTTCCGCTCACTCTCATATAGAAGCCGGGGAATATCCACCAAATGCGCTACCCACATATACACTTCAATATGCCGACCTATTATCGAATATACCTCATTAATCATGACTCAAGCGCTGAGAGGATCACAGTATCATCTGGAAGTAGCAGAGAGAGCAGCCCCTCGTATTAGACACCCTCACAACCCACTTTTCAACTCTTCCAACGAACTCCTTTACGACCTTACAAAGATTCCTCCTATAAACGCCCGTCTACAACCCTTATCCCTTAAAGCAATTATGAACTTCCAAATAAACGCCCTACAAAATTTCGTCACCATTCCCCTCTCCCTTACCCTCTGTCCCATAACACGGCTTACACTTCTTAAAAAAATAAGGCCCAACTGAGAAGACCTAAGTACAACCTAACCGAATTCAAAGTCACGGGCAACATCGAACATTTTATCAAAACTTCAAATATTGTTTTCCCAAAAACTAAGTTATTTTTCAAAACGTGCTGATTCATTGGAAAGAGGACACTTTTATTAATATTTTGGGAAATTTTCATACTTATATTCCAAAAAATCGATTTTATACGAATTATTAAAATTTAATCGGAAAAATTCGAAAAAACTGTTGATTATTTCAAAAATTTTTCAAGAACTGAAAGTGATTTTTCAAAACGGCTAGAGAAGAAAACTAAACGAAACTGCAACAAGGGATTTTATATATCGTATTGGGATTGTTACAATAATAAAGTTGTATTCAATGAAAAAATTCCTATTGGGGTTGGACTTGATTATTATCTGCACTGTCCAACACCTAAAAGAGATACTTATTCCTGTGAATGGTGGAGTACTAAATAATAGGATTTTAATATCCGGCCAAAGTCGGATATTTGGTAACTATTATGACACTACTTTCTGGTCACCCTAATATTTGAAAAAAGCTATAGCTAAGAAATGATATTTTCAAATCAAAAAAATAAAAATTAATTCACCAATTCTAATGAACGTATTTATTACAATCAATGTCAATTACAACCAAAAAAAAGAGGATTATTTTTTGATAAAGGCAACAACTTAATTATTAAAATGTACAAGGCTTCTGACAATACAAATCATTTTAGATTATAAAAAATTAATATTTTCTCTTCAAACTTTTGCAACATACTTTCATATCATTTAGTTTTATATTTAAGGTGAATTAGAAATATCCATATTATCCGACTTCTCCGAAGACTCCTTATCGTTTTGATTATCAGAATCTTGTGATTTTCTCTTCTCCTTCTCAGAATCAAACCCCTTTTCTTCTTCATCATAATTTCTAGGGACTTTTGAACGCGATGGCGATCTCTCTTTATCCTTCCTATCTTTCTTCTCCTTCTTCCTATCTTTATCGCGACTTCTCGATCGACTCCTCCTTCTACTTCTTTTAGGACTTGGCGTTCTTCTTCGCGTTCCTCTCGACCTTGACCTTCGCTTTTCTTTACGCGCTTTTCTATCTCTAGATCGAGAACGATATCTGCTCCGCGACCTTGACCTCTTTTTCTCCACCGGTTTCTCATCTACGCTACTCTCTCTATCGCTTCTTTTTTCCTTCGACTCTCTTCCTTCCCGCACTTTTTCCTTTTCTTTTCTTTCTGCGTCTCGATCCCTTGATCTGCGTTCTTTTGATACATCTCTCGAACGCCTTTCTTTTGAAACATCTCTTGATCTTCTCTCTTTAGATCGTTCCCTATCTCTCGATCTACCCCTGCTTTTTTCTTTAGATCTTTCCCGCGACCTTCTGTCTCTTGATTTAGACTTAGAACGATGCCGTTCGCGATCTCTCCGCGAAGAATATCTTGATTTAGATCTTGAACGTCGGGGAGATCGCGTACGAGATCGTCTAGATCGTGATCTTGACCTTCTTCTTTCGCGAGATCTAGTCCGACGGCGTCGTTCTCGAGAACGCGATCGCTTCGTCCGCGAATTTGACCTTCTCGATCGGTGACGTGAACGCGATCTTCTGGAACGAGATCGTGATCGAGAACGACGACGTCTTCCGCGCGAACGAGATCTTGATCGCCTGGAGGAGCGTTTGTCTTTAGAAAGCATGCCAATGACTGGATCCATTGCTGCAGAAATAAGGTTTTGGGCTTCTTTTGCTTGGGACATCGCCTCTTCAATTTCTCTTTGTGCAATTTCATTGCTTTTTGCTTGGGGTTTTGTTATAGGTTGTGTGGCGTGGGTTAATTTCATTATTTTGCCTTTTAATTCGGTTCCATTTAATTTTAATGCTTCTATTATGCAAGGTTGTTCGCTAAATTCCACCAACATGTGGCTTGTATTATCTGAGGATCTTGAACATGTTCGTAAATATTTCATTTCACCACATTTGCTAAAGAAATTTATAATATCATCTGTAGTAATCGTTGAGTCCATGTTATGTACTAAAATTGTACGTCGAGCTTCTTCTATTTTAACACTATCGTAAGTGGCTGGTAAAGGTGGATAAACAGGTAATCCATTTTCTAGTAATTTAGGATCTGTGGTTACTATAACTTGGTCTACTCCAATGCCACTTACTGTATTAATCACATTAGGTGGTAATTTAGGTTCACTAGGGCAAAGTCCAGGCACTATAGTACCGTTTTTTGTCATTTCTAAAGCGTAATATTCATCGGGAATCTCTCCATTTTGCACTGGAATCACAATCAACGCTCTATCAATGAAAACCGTGTTTGTCATATGCTGAGCAATTCCTACTGTTACAGGGTCTATGAACTTAATGTAACAGATCCTTGACTGAACAGGGCATGATACATCTCTTATCGTGGGGTACAAACGTATATCTTCAATTTTACCCAGATATCCAAATAAGGTTTGCATTTGATCTTTTGTGGCTTGGGGAGCTATATTTGTGACTTGCACAACACGAGTAGCCCCCACAGCCATCGTCACAGCGTTTTCTGCCTCAATTTTTGATGATTTTTAATACTCACTCAGTAATAATAAGTTTTTTTAATCGTGCCGGCGAAATGTAGAATAAATGTTTGCGAAATAAACGTTTTTGTGACGCTTGTAAAATGAAAGGTTACTAAAAGTGACATATGTCAAGACGTACCAATCCAAAGTAGTAACCAAATTTTAGGTGTATTTACGATTAATTTACATTTTAATTAATTAATTGAATCTTCTTAAATGATAATCCGATATAAATTGAGTTTGTCTATTATTAATAAAATAATAAATAATTTATTTTACTTCATCACGTTCGTTACCAACTATACGCAGATAAAAGAAATGTCTAGAATTTTTATTGTTTCTTTAATACGATTATTTAATTAGTTATATACGTTTTTTTAAGCAACTAATGGTTTTTTATAAATAAAATTTCGAAATGTATAAATAAATACTTTAAAAATGAAAGAAATTTAGTAATAAATTTTATTGTCGGTAAATTAGAACTCCTCTATTGATAAACTGTCAGTAAACGTCTTTGGAAATGGAAGTGCGAAGTTTTAATAATCATTGTTCATTGAGGAGTTTTTCGTTCGAATTCACGCCCGAGGTATCCGTCCCGTCGAAAAAAACGAGGCAGTTCGATTGACAGCGATTTGGCCGCTTTATCGCCGAAAATAGTCGTCCCAGATAATCGTGCGAACAGAGTCATCTGGCGTTTCCGGTGGGCATTCAGTTTCTGCCATTGGTACACGTGAATCGTGGTCATATTTCGGAGAATACTCCAAGATCCGAGGTCGTCCAGTATGGATTCTTGGGGTAAATCATTTCTTCAGCCTCTAATCGTCCCATTTTAAGCCATCTTTTCACATTTACAGACGACGATAATTTCGAGCCCCAAGTGGTGATGCCTATTACCATTGCTTCTAACAAATGGGAAGGTGAAGATGAGGATGAGGATGTGAAGGTATGTTAAGATACCTTAAGATATTTAAAGGGTCTGTTTGGTTTTTGTGAATTTAGGATAATTGGGAAGATGAGGACGAGGAAAAAAAGGAGGAAGTTCCAGCACCAATCCAACAAAAACCCAAAAAGAAAAGTATACAGGAAAAAATAGCAGAAAAAGAGGTTAGTTTTATTATCCATATGGTACTTAAATCTCACCATTTCTTTATAATCAAAGTGATTCATTTCATTGAATCACTATCACTTATAATAATTGATAAACTAAGTAAATATTTATTTCTTAAAATTTAATAGAGGTTGAGAGCAGAAGAATTAGCACGAAAAAGAAAAGAAGAAGAAGAAGATGATGAAGATGATCTTCCTCCTGAAGAAAGATTAAGAAGGCAAAAAGAATCGGATCTGAATGCTGCATTAGAAACAACATTCGGCGGCAGCAATACTCCAACAGGAATTGATGGTATGGATCCAAAAAGCAAAGAGGAATTCCAAGAATTGGCAGATGCAATCGTAAATAAGGTGCAACCCTACACAAAAAGTGCAGAGTATCCGGTCTTTGCTGAAACCGTTGTCAGGAACATTTGTGCCACAAGTAAATCAAAAACGAAATTAATTTATCTATTCAGTAATTTTGAATATTAATCTTTAGTGTCTTCTTTGGATATTAAAAAGATCAAAAATACAATAGACAATTTGTATATGGAGAAGCAAAAGATTGAAAAGGGTGATAAGGCTAAAAAGAGCAAGACGAAAGGCAAAGCGAAATTAAAAATGGATAATGAAAATGTAAATAATTTACAATGCCTTTTTTGTGATGTATTTATTCCTTTCTTTTTTATTTCAGCAATTTTCTGCTTACGTCGAGGACTATGATGAGTTCGACGATTTCATGTAGCAGGTGGAAAATTTTAGTTATCTTTTAAACAATTGTATTTATCTAGGTAAAATAAGGTGACATTTTTTTAAATGAAGCAAAGAAGGATAACACTTAATAATCAAGGTTTGTTCTATATTTTATTGTATAAAACGATGCTGTATAATTTGTTATAAACGTAATCATCTGAGACTTAGCTTAGAAAAATCGGCAATAGAGGAGCACTGGATTGCATACTCGTTGTCTTTTTTGGTACTGTGTCTCAATCGGATATTAATTAATGAATACGGATTACATGCAAAATAGATTATATTGAAGGAAATGTATTTGATTTTATTTCGCCATTATTACTTAACCATTATTTTCCTTTTAATGTACAGGGTGGGCAAATTTGGCTGCAAGCGATAAGCTACAGGTGTTATTTTCAGAAGGCACCAAAATAATACATAACAAGCTACCGAAAATAGCTAACCAGCATTCTATTAAAAAGAAATTAATTTTTTATTTATCAAAAATGGAAAATCCGATATTTAATTGTACGGAACACAATTTATTTAAAATTTTTTATAATGTGTTTGTTAAATTTTATGTACAGGTGTCCCAATTTCGATGTCCACATAGGCTATCTCCGAAACTAAAAGAGATAGAAAAAAAGTAGCTTACATGTCATGATCTCGTTTTTCGAGAAAATGCTAATGCCGAAAACTCCGAACAGCTATCGTCTTTTGTTTTCGCCCTATCGGCAAAAACTGAAAATTTTGCAAAAACGACAATTGCGAATATCTCACTTATTATCAACGATGGAGTATTATAAATAAAACATTATATGGGCCACTTTTTACGAAGAATTCAGTGGCGTAGGTAGAATTTTTTTCCCATCTTTTATTTTCGAGATTTCGAGGGTTCAATGTATGGTGTGCCCTTTTAGATAATAGAATTTTGACATATAGTATCTACCATAAAAACTTAAACTCAGGGAAATACCTCAATATATTAAGGCAGCACATTGAGCCTGTGGTCGACAATTTGCCACTAAATATGTCTCAAATGATATATTTTCAATATGACGGAGCATCAGCACATAATGCCAGAGTTGTTAGTGAATTTTTAAATACTACTACAAACTCAAGGACAGTAGAATCTAACAGGACTGCTACATCCATTGTTGTGACAGCCTACCCGCAAACTAGGTCACACCATTTTCCACGCCCACCTGTTGTTATGGTCTATGCGTTTGCTGTGTGTTTTTAGAGATTATATCCTAGACGTATTCATATTAGTTTTGAAGTTTTATGTTTTTAGATGTATTAATGTCTATCATATAACCTCTAAAAACATAGACAGTTACCAGGCGTGGCAAATAGTGTGACGTAGAGTGCGGGCAACCAACCCGTAGTCGACTACAAAAATACAATGGATGTAGCAGTCCTGTTAGTTTCTACTGTCCTTGCTACAAACTTTGGCAATAATTGGAAACAATGCTTTCCCTCATGGTATGGTTATCACCATAACAAGATTAAGTTTTAAATACATACAATAGTTTTAGAAAGAACAAAAAAAATTGATACATTATGTTCCATCATAGTATGTATGGTTATCACCATAGCAACATTAACTTTTAAATACATACATTAGTTTTAGATAGAACAAAATGAATTTTTGTTAATTATTCAATAACTATAAGAAATATACCCCACAAACTATATATATTTGTTATCAGAAGAAAATAACAAATTATTTTAGGTCATAGCCAACTATGGTTTCCATTTAAAAAAATAAAGTTACGTCTCAAATCTCGAAAATAAAAAATTTGAAAAAAATTCTACCTACGCCACTGAATTCTTCGTAAAAAGTTGCCCATAAAATGTTTTATTTATAATACTCCATCTTTGATAATAAGTGAGATATTCGCGATTGTCGTTTTTGCAAAATTTTCAGTTTTTGGCGATAGGGCGAAAACAAAAGACGATAGCTGTTCGGAGTTTTCGGCATTAGCATTTTCTCGAAAAACGAGATCATGACATGTAAGCTACTTTTTTTCTATCTCTTTTAGTTTCGGAGATAGCCTATGCGGACATCGAAATTGGGACACCTGTACAGGATGGGCAAATTTGGGTGTTATTATAGGCTATCTCAGAAACTATAAGAGATACGAAAAAAGTAGGTGCCATGTCTCGGTCTCTTTTTTCGAGACTAACCCAATCCCGCAAACACCAAACCTCTATCTTCTTTTGTTTTTAAGTTATAGTCAAAAAGTCAAATTTTCGTGATTTCAAAAAATGCTCATATTTCGTTTATTTTTGAAATTAGAGAAATGGGGTTGATACGTTCTTAAAACACTTTTTTTAGTACAATAAACTGCCGTTGAAAAATTTTAAAAATATTTGATGATTTTTGAGATACAACACAAAGTTGTATTTTTTTAAATACAAACTACTTGATTATGATGTTACTGAAAAGAGCATATTTTTAGCTTTCCAATGATGTATTACACGCATGGTGTATTTGGAGAAAATAAGCGTTATTTTTTAATTCTAAAATATTAAAGATTAATGCACTCCAATAATATACAACCAATCAGAGTAACGATCGTTTAAAATTTCGA